TGAGAAGAATGTAAAAGATGTCCAACATGTGGAGCTTGATAAAGTTGCCTCTGGTACTTCAAATCCTATTTCCGCTGATGTCGAAGCCACTACAAGTGAAAAAGTGGGAGACCATGAGGATGTTGAAGAAGTTGAACTTAAAGATTCTATTCAAGTTGAAGAGCAAGTTTCACCTCAAGAGTCTATTACCAAGAACAGAGGAAAAAGACAAATTACCAAGCCAACTCGGTATAGTGACTATGTTGCTTTTGCTCTTCCTATTATCACTGATGAGATTCCATCCAATTTTGAGGAAGCCATTGAGAGTGAGGAAAATGAGAAGTGGTGCAATGCCATGGGTGATAAGATGAATTCTCTCTTGAAGAACAAGACTTGGGAGTTAGCTAAATTACCTAAGGGTAAGAAAGCTATTGGTTGCAAATGGGTGTATGTCAAAAAGGAAGATGCTGATGAGAAAAGCAATGTGAGATTCAAAGCAAGATTAGTTGTTGAAGGGTATGCACAAAAGGAGGGCATTGACTACAATGAAATATTTTCTCCGGTTGTGAAGCACTCATCAATTCGTATTATGTTAGCTTTTGTTGCACAATATGATCTTGAGCTTGTGCAACTCGATGTAAAGACGGCTTTCCTACATGGTGATTTGAATGAAGAGATCTATATGTGTCAACCGGATGGGTATATAATGAAAGGGAAGGAAAATTTGTTTTGCAAATTGAAGAAATCACTTTATGGCTTGAAGCAATCTCCAAGGCAATGGTATTTGAGGTTTGATAAATTTATGAGAGGCCAAAATTATTCTAGAAGTCAATATGATCATTGTGTGTACTTCAAGAAGTTGCAAGATGTGTCTTTCATTTATTTATTAATATATGTTGATGATATGTTGATTGTCTCAAAGAATGTCGAAGAGATTGAGAAATTGAAGAAGCACATGAAGAATGAGTTTGAGATGAATGATCAAGGTGAAGCAAAGAAGATCCTTGGCATGGAGATCACTAGAGACAGAGAGAAAGGTTTAGTATGCTTGAATCAAAGACATTACCTTGAGAAGTTGATTCGGAAGTTTGGAGTTCATGATTCAACCAAATCGGTTAGTACCCCTTTGGCTCCTCATTTTAAATTGAGTTCTCTACAATGTCCTAAAGCTGATAAGGAGAAGCTGCAAATGAAAAATATACCATATGCAAATTTGGTTGGTAGTTTGATGTATGCAATGGTATGCTCTAGACTGGATATTGCTCATGCAGTTGGCATGGTGAGTCGATATATGCATAATCCTGGTAAAGAGCACTGGCAAGCAGTTAAGTGGATATTGAGGTATCTCCATGGTACTCAAGATGTTGGTTTATGTTTTGAGAGAGGGATGACTTTGGTATTGGTCATTTTGCAGTTGGTTATGTTGATTCAGATTATGCAGGTGATCTGGATGGAAGGAAGTCTACTACAGGCTATGTGTTTACTATGGCTAAAGGGCCAGTTTGTTAGAGGTCCATTTTGCAGTCGTCTGTTGCCTTGTCTACTACAGAGGCTGAATATATGGCAGTTGCTGAAGCTATAAAGGAGGCCATTTATTTAGCTAAGTATTAGGTTCACCATGCGAGGACCAAGCACATAGATGTGCGTTATCACTTTGTTCGTGAAGTTGTTGGTGAAGGAGAAATCATTCTTCAGAAGATTCCAACTAAAGACAACCCCGCTGATATGTTGACTAAGGTTGTTGGTGTAGCCAAGTTGTTCATTGCTTGAACTTGGCTCACATTTTGCCTATATAAAGAAGGCGATGAGCAGTAGGAGTTTTTGGAGCATTTGGCTCGGCATGAGTTGTTCTCTTGCTAGTGTTTGGGAGTGTTTTTGTGTTGGTTGGCTTATCAGTGGTGTTTTCGGAATTTGGCCAAAGTGGAGATTGTTGGATAGTGGCCAACTTGGCATCCACTTTCGGCTAGTAAACAAAACAAAAGAATGAAGGACAAAATGATGAGGGAACATCATGATAAGGAGGCATCATGATTATGTTTCCTTCTTTTGTGGTCTTTTCAAAACCATAATTATTGGTTTTTTTCGGGTAGAAGAAATAAGAGAGGCAGAGCTCATTTTCAGTTTAAAGCTGCAGAAAGAAGTGAGAGCTGCCGAGAGCAGGGAGGGTTGCAAAGAGCCCAAAAGGAAGAAGAAGCTGCTGCTTCATTTGGTTTGTAATCATCCACCAAAGTAGTTGTTGTTGTAATAGCTTTGAGCTATATGTATAGAGAAGAAATTATTCATTATATTTCTTTCTCTATTTGTTTCTGTGGTGTGTGAGAGCTATTGGGTGTATTGGGTTATTTGGGTTGTGAGATTGCCAACACTTTGTAAACTCCCAATTGGTTGATAGTGGATTATTGGGTGAGCTCTTACTACTCCGATGACGTACTCCAGTTACACTGACTGTTGAGGAATCTCGTTAAAATCTTGGTGTCTTTTATTTTTTGTTCTTGCATTTTCATTTGATAAATTTCCTGTGGGTTAGCTTGAGTTAGTTTCAATTGGTTTTGGTGTTATCCTAGCACAACAGAGGGTACCTTAAGAGCAGGCCTAAGATTCCCAGGTAGGGTGATGACTTGATGTGTAGGCAATCGTTGTACTTGTGAATATATGCAACCCTTCCTCCTCTACAAACACTTTTCAGAAAGAAAAAAAAAACAAAAAAACAAAAAATCTTGGTAATTTAGATATTAGTTTTTTTTGTTTTTGGTTTTTGGGATAATATTGGTAAGAAACAAATAAGAGAAAGAGAGAATGATGTGGAATAAGGAATCCTGCATGAACGAGGAAGTTGGATCGAACACTAGTAGGAAAAGGAAAACAAGCCAAGTTTTTGCCCGCTCAAACGCACAGAGTTTTAACGGAAACCAAATCCAAAAGTGCAACCAACCGCACAATAACTTGTTTGTAAGTTTTATAAAAAAAAATATATATATATATATATATATATATAAACTTGTCTGTAAGTTATTCGAGCTAAAGTGGGTCCTCCTCACTTGGCAAAGAAAAGTGGGTCCTATCATACCATCAGGAGCGGATCCACCTTAAAGTAAGGTGAGTCAACTGGCGTTCTCAAGCTCAGAAATCTGTTATGGAAGAGCTGAGTGATAACTTTTTAAAACTTGAGAAGTCCTTAAAAGTTGCCCTCCAATTGCTTGATGAATTGCCTTTATGGATACTGGGTTAGATAGTTGCTAGCCTCATTCTTTTGTATGTGTTTGCTACGTGCATTTGCCGATAGGCTCACTCGGCTTACACTAGCATATGTCGGTATGGTCACACAAAAGCTATTGATCTCAATCGACATACTCGCTCGAAAGCTGTTGGCATATGTCAACAGACATGCAATATGACTTGATAAATGACTTCAAGCTTACCAAAAACTCGATTAAATATCAATTTGCATGCTATTCCGACTAAAAATACATATGCATGTGTTATCACAGAGTACGTTTGTAACATCACTTAAACATTGTGTCGCGATAATCTTACTTCACAACATAAACCTCTTTTTAGATTTAGGTCAACATACACTCTTTTTTTTTTATAATAAATTTTGTAATTCTCTGCACGTGTGATCAAATGTTTGATTAAAAGAGTGGTTTTCACACAATATTTTTTGTTTTTGGTCGTCAAATTGTGTAGATCAAACGAAAACAAAAAAACGGATGTTCGTTTATCCATCATTTCCCAAAGAGGTAAAAAAAGTTTATTTCTGTACGCAAAATGCATTTTTAAACACCCATTTTCTTTGGAACCCTTCATCTAATTTCTAAATTTCTTTAGACACCCAAAGATATTAGAGATAACACATATAAGGGAACGCAACGCACCCAAGAGCCATGATTGAGAATGGAGCGCATGAAAATAATTTTCTTTAGTGCCCAAAAAATTGGCAACTTCAAAAAGACAAAATGCCCCAAAATTTTCAATTCGGGACCGAATTTCGATCATCGTTGGAGCTCCTATCGGAAACGGAGGTTCAGATTCACTGCTAATCTCTCCAAGCGTTTTTGAAGCTGCGGCCATTCGACGATCCAATCAGGTATAAATCAGTTACTTTTTGGTTTCTCTCTCTTTTTTTGTTCTGTTTGGTTCCTGAGAAAATTTCATTTTTGGAATTATTTAGTTCTTTTTGTTGATTAGTTGAGTGTGATCCCAATGCTACAGTTAATCTGGATTTCTAATTGATTAATGTTCGTTTTCTGCGTGCATACAGATTTACATTTCAGCTGGATTTCTAATTGATTAGTGTTCGTTAATCTGGATTTCTAATTGATTAGTGTTCGTTAATGTGGATTTCTAATTTATTAGTGTTCGTTTTCTAACAAAATCAAAGTGTTGTATATAGAAAGTTGGGAAGATCATCTCTCAATCGAAATTCGATGATAGGCTAGCTAAGAAGGGAAAAAGTAGACTCGCTTTTGTTCGTAATTTGGGATTGATGGTATATCAACTGTTCTATTCTGATAAACAATTCTTTGAAGCAAAACTGCCAAAATTTGATAGAATCTTTCATAGTGAGTGCTGGTGATGAATTTCCTAAGAACTGAAGGCTAATTATATACGGATATGTAGTTAATAATATCATAGCCCTTACATAATTGGCACAAACCAAACCGAATTTGAAAAGTTTTCAATTCAAGATTGAACCTGCATATATTTTTGTAGATTGAAATTTTACAGAAAAGATTGCAATTTTATGCTTCCTCGTATCCTAAAATCATTTACTTGGAGGCATTGATTAAAATGTGTGCAGAACGTTCCAAAAAGTTGAGCGTATATGTTACCCCCAAAAACACTATTTTCTAAGACAGTTGAATTAAAAATATACTGAACACATGTATTTGTACGATAAAACCTCGATAACTTTATACTTTAACACCTTTTCAATGGTGGTGTTCCATTTGTTACAGTTGAAATCATCAAATTTGATAACTCTCCACCCTCAATCATCCTCATTTTGTCGTAAGTCACTCACAATTTCTTAATTTTTTTAATCCATATCAAATGCAATTCCTACTTTTTAACATATTTTTCTAATCTTTGGGCACTGCTTGATTTCGTTTGTCAAATGGTGCATAAATTATCATACCTGCTCTGTTAATATGTGTAAGACCCATCCCACTTTTGAGGTTTTCGCACTCAATGCTGAAACATTTTGTGTTGTGAAGGTTAAATGTGTTCGAAACTGAAATTACAAATTTTGTTTTGTTTGGATTTCAAGCAGGAATCACTCAGCAAGACATTGCAGGGCACAAGGGTACAATTCGGATTGGGGATGTGCAGGTACATATTGATTTGATTTCTGTTGTTCTATAGGTTGAAGCTTTGTTAACAGCACTAGAGTTGTTTTTCCAATTTTTTAATGTTCTTTCTACAAATTATTTTTGAAGTAATTTTGGTTTTAGGAACTGCAATAGTATAATTAGATAAGAAAACTAGAAAATATGTTCGATTTAAAACATATAATTTTAATCTTATCTTTAATTTATTTTTGGATTCTATATTAAGTATCATGTCGAGTGTTAGTCTTATCTTTAATCTTGATGTTGCTGAGTTTGTTTGAACTCCAATGGTTATTGTAGATTGATTCCGACATGGGCAACTATGAACCCTTCCTAGATGCGACTCTTACTGAGGATAACAACATTACCACTGGCAAGATGTATCAGGTGATTCTAATAAACAACAAGAGTTGGTTGTCTGTCTTCTATTTTATCTGTTTTATTTTTATAATTTCGTTCCGTGTAGTCTATGCTTGAAAAGAAGCGGAGAGGTGAATACCTTAGCAAGACTGTCCAGGTGATGGTACAAAATCGCAATGTTCATATATCCATTGATTCTAATTTTGTGTAGATCTGTATATATGTTCTATTCTACTTTGTTTTATCATTTTGAAAGATATTCTAATTTAACGAACCGAATTTAGGATTTAAGAGTCAAAGCTTGATAGATGATGTGTGAATGGGTTAGTAAAAATCTAAACATGTTCCTTCACAATTACAAAGCTCTTGTAACTTAACAAATGTTGAATTTTCGAATTGTTAACCAGCTTTTTCCTGTTGAGTTCTAAACTCTACTTGACAATGACATTCCCCATGATCAGGCATGACATTCCCCAACGATAACTCTAGCTAGATGCTTGTAACGCACATTCCTCCCTGAAGTCCAAAAGCCAGAGTAGCCCCTACTCCGCTTTTCCCAGCCGCCCCTCATCTGGAAAGTGTGAAGAATCGGTACCCTTACAACTCCTCCTTCAAAATCGGTATCCTCAGAGTAACCTGTGCCTTCAAAATCTTGCTCATTCGCCCATATTCGCCCATCCGTTCCTCGCTTTCTTTGTTCTATTTAATTATGTTTTGGGGGAGTTGATTTTTGAAAAGAAGATCTTACAAACTGTGGCGTTGGGTCCCCATGACCCTCTCTCTTCTCCGGAGGCAAAGGAGTCGGTTTCGATTGATGGCAATTTCTCCTCCTCAAAATTCTTTACTACTGTGGATTTTGATTACCTCAGCCATGTGTCGCCTGCACAGGATGCTACGTGGAGTCAAGGGTCTGACTCAGAAGAAAATTTTGGGGAGTCGCCACATCAGAATTTGGCATCCACCGATCCAATTGAAAGTGGTGAAGGCTTTTTGCAGAAACTATTTTCGGTCAGTGAGGGGGATTCGCCCAAGGTGTTCGAAGTAGACGATAGTGTAGACGAAGATGCGGCTGACCAAAGTATTTTGAAGGATCCTGTCGTAAAAAACAAGGTGCTCAAATATTGCAGAAGGAAAAGGTCGAGTCGGACCTCTGCTTATGGGGAGAGCTCAGGTCGATCCAGCGAATTTTTGTCAAAAATGAAAATTTCGCTGCTGCCTTTAAAAAAATCCCTATTCCCCGGAAAGAGCTTGGGGTGGCGGGCAGTCTGCGGGGAGAGCAGGAAGAACAAACGGGCTTCGGTTATTATTAATGAAGATAATCAGTTGGAACATTAGAGGTCTGGGCAGCAGAAGGAAAAGGGTCCTTTTGAAGGATTATTTTCGCCGGGTTCGGGCTGACATTATTATTTTACAAGAAACCAAATGTGCCAGGGTAGACCGCAAGCTTGTGGCTAGCGTGTGGGGAAGCAAATTCAAAGAATGGGTTTATGCTCCTGCACAAGGAAGCTCTGGGGGCATCGTGGTGATTTGGAACACCAAAGTTATCTCAGTTGTTGAATCTCTTGTTGGCGCATTTTCGGTTTCCATTAAAATTAGAGAGCATAATGGTACGGATTGGTGGCTGCTCTCTGGGGTCTATGGACCGTGCAAAAGTAGGGAGAGACATGATTTCTGGGGAGAACTTGCGGGCCTGTATGGTCTGTGCGGTCCTAATTGGTGTGTGGGAGGGGATTTTAATGTGGTAAGATTTATTGGCGAGAAGTCTAACGGGGGAAGATCCTCCTCCAGTATGAGGATTTTTAACCAGTTCATCCAGGACTCGGGTCTCATCGATCCGGATCTGCACAACGCTCAGTTCACTTGGTCTAATTTTCGAGACGAAGTGGTTTGCAGAAGATTAGACAGATTCTTATTCTCTGAAGGGTGGGAGGAGTCGTTCCCTCACGTGAGGCAGAAGGCCTTGGCCAGGGTAACTTCTGATCATTGCCCTATCGAATTAAACACCAGCAAGGTGAAGTGGGGGCCGGGCCCCTTTAGGTTCGAAAATTCTTGGCTTCATCACCCCGATTTCATGAACAACTTCAAAGAGTGGTGGCAATCTGAGCTTGTCGAAGGTTGGGAGGGTTACAAATTCTCCAGTAAATTGAAACTTCTTAAAATTAAGTTGCAAGTTTGGAGCAAGGAGGTCTTTGGTGACACTGAGAAAATCCTCAAGGAGGTTAAGGCCAACCTGGAGGAAATTGACATCAAGGAAGGGAGGGAAGGTCTTGACCCGGTTTTGAAAAGAAAAAGAGAAGAGCTTCGTTCTCTTGCGGAAGATTTGGCTTGGAAGGAAGAAGTTAAGTGGAGGCAGAGAAGCAAAGTGGAGTGGGCCAAAGAAGGGGATGGAAACACTAGATTCTTTCATCAGATTGCTAGCGGGAGAAGAAAGAGAAACTTTATAGAGAGATTGGAGACAGAAGATGGCAGAATATTAGAAGGGGCAGAGGAGATTGAAGCCGAAACCATCAATTTTTTCAAGTCTCTGTACAGCTGCAACGAAGAGACGTGTTGGGGGATAGAAGGAATCAATTGGTGCTCAATTAGTGCAGGTGAGGCAGATTGGCTTGAGAGGCCGTTCGAGGAGCTCGAAGTCCATAATGCAGTTTTCGACTGCGGAAAGGATAAATCCCCAGGCCCGGACGGTTTTTCTATGCATTTGTTTCAAAGTTGCTGGGAAATCTTGAAAGGGGATATCCTGAGGGTGCTGGAGGAATTCTATGAAAATGGAATTATTAATGCAGTGACAAATGAAACTTACATATGCCTCATTCCGAAAAAGCCAGATTCTGTGAAGTTGAGGGACTACAGGCCTATAAGTTTAGTTACCAGCCTTTACAAGATCGTGACCAAAGTCCTTGCTAACAGACTAAAGGAGGTTATGGGTAGTACAATTTCCCCTTCCCAAGGAGCTTTCGTTAAAGGTAGACAAATTCTTGACGCCGTTCTCGTCTCTAATGAGGTGGTCGAAGAGGTAAGGCAGAAGAAGGAGGAGGGCTTGGTCTTCAAGATCGATTTTGAAAAGGCCTATGACCACGTTGACTGGAGCTTTTTGGAGGAAGTTCTTTTAAGAAAGGGTTTCGGGTTTAGATGGAGGAATTGGATGCTTGGGTGCCTTGGCACAGCTAATTTTTCTGTTTTGATTAATGGAAGACCCAGAGGTAAATTCAAAGCATCTAGAGGTCTGAGACAAGGAGATCCGTTGTCCCCGTTTTTGTTCACCCTTGTTGTTGATGTTCTGAGCAGGATGATTGAGAAGGCCCAAGGTAATCATTTGATCAAGGGTTTGCGCGTCGGAGTCGATAACGTGGAGATCTCTCACCTTCAATTTGCGGATGATACCATCTTCTTCTTGAATGGGCACGAGGAGAATTGGAATAATCTGCTGCTTTTACTGGATCTTTTTGGAAAGGTGTCTGGCCTGAAGATTAACAAAACTAAGTGTTCTTTGGTGGGTATTAATTCTGACTGTGAGAAGATTTATAGGCTTGCAAGCTCTTGGGGTTGCGAGGTGGGCGCTTGGCCAATGTCGTACCTCGGCCTCCCTCTAGGTGGAAAGCCAAAGTCTATTAAGTTTTGGGATCCGGTGGTCGAGAAGGTGGAATTGAGGCTCCAAGGTTGGAAGAAAGCTTTTTTATCCAGAGGAGGAAGATTAACCCTGATTCAAGCCGTCCTGGGTTCTTTGCCCGTGTACTACATGTCCCTTTTCAAAGTCCCATGTGGGGTCATTCGTAAACTGGAGAAGCTTATGAATGGGTTTCTTTGGGAGGGGGTGGGGGAGGGAAAGAAGTTTCACTTAGTCAAGTGGGGGGATGTTTGCAAGAGTAAGGAGGACGGAGGCCTTGGCCTGGGAAATTTGAGATTTCGGAATGTCGCACTACTAGCCAAGTGGCTGTGGAGATTCCCTCTTGAACCTAATTCTCTTTGGCACAAGGTGATTAGGAGCAAGTATGGTCTGCACGCTAACGGCTGGGACGCTAATCCCCCGAGGCGGGGCTCAAGCAGATGTCCGTGGTCCGAAATCTCGGCTGGTTCCCCGTCTTTTCTTCTATCTTGCAAGTTTTGTGCTTGGTAACGGGGAGAGGCTGAGGTTTTTGGGAGGATGGCTGGCTGGAGGGCGGTCTTTTGAAAGATATCTTCCCCAGATTATTCATGCTTTCTACGACAAAAAACCTGAGCATTTCACGGCTGACGGTTCCTTCTTTACAGTCGGTAAGCTGGAATTTCGATTTCAGGAGAAACCTTAGAGAATCTGAGATTGAAGAGGTGGCCGGTTTACTGCAGAAGGTGGGAGCTGTGCGGCTGTGTCTTTCCAGAGCTGACAGGAGAAGGTGGATTTTGGAAGGTTCCGGCCAGTTCACCTGCAAGTCCTATTTCTCCTTCCTTCGAAACAACGATTCTGTGCAACAATTCCTTCCGTCCCCTCAGATTTGGAAAGCTAAGGTCCCCCCAAAAGTTAAAGTCCTGGTGTGGCTAGTGGCGCTTCGGAAAGTTAACACTTGTGATCAAATCCAAAGGAGAATGCCCTATACTTGTTTTTCTCCACATTGGTGCGTTCTGTGTAAGTCAGGGGAGGAAAGTGTCAATCACGTGTTCCTCCATTGCCCGTACAGTATCCAACTCTGGTGGAATTTGCTCAAGGAAGTTGGAGCAGTCTGGGTCATCCCAAAGGGCTGTTTTGAGCTTCTAAGCACCGAGTTTGATGCCTTAGGAAAAGGGAGGAAAGCCAAATCCTTGTGGGGTTCCCTGCTGATGGCCCTCTTCTGGAACATTTGGATGGAGCGTAACAAAAGAGTTTTTGAGGACTACATGGGAGTTGAAGTCGAGGAGCTCTGGGATAAAACGAAACACTGGGCTGCTCTATGGTCTTCTGTGGCTGCTGAGTTTAGAGATTATAATCCTCTTTCAATAGCTAGGGATTTGGTGGCAGCTGTCTTTTGATTTGGCGTAGCCTTTCTTGTTTTTCTAGTTTAGTTTTTTTCTAGTTCAGGGGTTTTTTCTCCTGGCTTTTTCCCTGCGCCTGGTGGTTATCTTGTCCACTTGGCTGTCCTTTTCTTTCCTTGTTTTGCCCTCTTTTTCTATATTTTCTCTCGTTTCTTCTCAAAAAAAAGAGGTAGAGAAGTTTGAAACATTTTCAAAGTTTGATGGTTCCATATCTTGTCACTTGACTAATTCATGTATGAAGTTGTATTGAACGAGACATTTTGGTCAATCTAGTCAATAATGTTATATGTGATCTTTAAGTACATGCTTTTATGCTGCGGTCTTATACTACTTTTTTAACTAGAACAAACCAAGTTTTGAACTACAATTAAGCAATTGAATTGCGCATATAAAATTCAAGCCATGAGTAACGCATACATTATGAAGCAGAATTAAAATAAACATTATAAAAAAGTTGTTCCTTTGGCTTCTTTGCCCTGGCTTTAATCGGATCCAGTTTCTCAAATAAAAAAAAAAATTAAAATAAACATTATAAAAAAGTTGTAAACTTCAATATCGTAGTGACAAAGTAAGACTAGAACCGCCCAACGTCTTTAAGATTAGGAGGCCTAAAATTTAGAGGATGAGTTTCCCGGGTGGCCTTTTCGTCTTGTTTCCGCATCTTGATTGTCTTGTCAGCTTCACAAGTAACCAGCCTTGTGCCAGTGACATCATAGCAAAGAGCATATGAACGCCCCGACCCGGATGGAGATTTATTTGTAGGATCTACTTCATTAATTTGTTGCTTTGGAATCATGGTGGTGATTAAGCGATGCGATAGACCTATAAGCATCGTACTCTCAATCACAATTTATGGTTTGAGATTTTGTTCTCACATGATCATCTTGTAACATGAAGTTTCCCATTTATCTGTGTAATCATGTGATTCCCAATGAGCTCAGATGAATGGTTGAAGTTTACTTGTTGCTTTGCAAGTAGTGATGCTTATTGTAATATTTTTAGATCTAGTTTATAAAGACCCTTTTGAAGCCAAATTCTTCATGATATATATTTATAATACTCTTCTATAAATGAATGAAAATATCATACTGCTCTTGTTTTTTTTTTTTTTTAAAAGAGAGTTTGGATAGGTATTACTATTGATGCAAAGCCACAGGAAACCTTGTTGGCTTTGGTAAGGCAAACCATTAAGCATGCAATTACTAGTCAATCCCATCTGCCAGCTGGTGGAATGGTTGGTTTGGTCTCACTTTTTGGTGTGCCTTGTATAAAGGCATGTGATGCTCAGTTCCGTATTTTAGTCACATTAAAAAATTTCTCCTTATACATTATTCCAAGTTCAGGACATAATATACTGACATTGATTCTCTCTGGATCCATTTCCATAATATACCAGCAGTTCTTGAATTATTGAAAATTGAATCAGAAAAAGTCTGCAATATGATATAATGGATTGGATAGGAATCCGAATCTCTTCCTCCGAATCCATCAAATAAGGAAATTCGTACAGTTGAAATTTGATCAAATCATTAAAATTATTATAACTTTTAAATTGGCTATCTGTTTGTAACCGTTAAATCAAATTTCAACGACACGAATTTTCTGATTTGATGGATTCCTTATGGATTACCTAATTCAATAGGAGGTAGATTCTCTGCCCTCCCACTTCTTATGCCCTCCTGTTGTGTGGTCACGGTTAAGCCACGTCAATATTTTATATTACTATTCTTTTTTTGTCTTATTATCTTTATAAAAAATAATATAAAATGTTAACATAGCTTAACCGTAACTACACAAAACAGAAGGGTACGGAAGGACACTGAAAGTGGGAGGGCAGAGAATCTGCCTCCAATTCAATATGAGCCAATCGTTGCCTTATCACATCATAATTCAATATGAGCCAATTGCTGCCTTATCACATCACCTTCATATTTTAATTCACCTTACAATCTAGAAAGTCGTCTGCAACGGATTCGGATCCCATCCGGATTCAAAATGTGGAAATGTTAGAGGTTCTCACATCTTAACTATTCATCGTGCATCGTTTGGTAAAAAATTATTTGATTTTTATTTAAAATTAAACATAAATAGTACCTGATGAAAATTACCGGCATGATGTACGATGAATAGCTAGGATATGAGAATTTCTAAAATTCCTACAAAGTGGATCCGGAGAGGATCCTCTTCCGTCTGCAACCTAACCAGAAATACTGCACACAGAATTCTAAAATGTTCAAAATTTCATATAATTGAGCACATATTCATCAATTATAGATGCTTTGTCTGCCAGAAAAGGGCAGGATACAAAATGGCAGAACAGATTGTATGCTTTGTGATCGACAAGTTAATTCAACTACTCATCGCCACAGAAGCAAACCTTTCGAGAAATGCACGTACTGAAGTTGGTTTCATCAAAGATGAACTCGAAAGCATCCGATCATTCCTCAAGGAAGCAGATGCTATGGCTGCAGCAGCAGATGGAGAGACGGGGAATGACGGTGTCAAAACTTGGGTCAATCAAGTAAGAGAAGCAGCTTTTTACATTGAAGATGTCATTGATGAATATTTGCTCCGCATCTTATGGCATCATCAACACCATGGATTCCTTCGTTTTTTCCACAAAATTATCCGGTTGGCTAAAAAAATGAGATCAAAGGATGGGATAGTTTCGAAAGTTGACAGTATAAAAAAATTGGTTCGTGAAATCAAGGAGAGAAGTGAAAGATATGGATTCAAATCCATTGATCAGCAAGGCCAGAGCAGTGGAGAAAAGACTCTACTGTCGAACGACCCTCGAGTGGCTTCCCTTTTCATTAAGGAAGCTGAAATTGTGGGGATTGAATCTGCCAGAGATGAGCTAACTCGTTTGTTGGTAGAAGGAGCGACGAGACGTGAAGTGATATCAGTGGTTGGCATGGGAGGACTTGGGAAAACCACTCTTGCCAAGAAAGTGTATGACCAGCCGAAGGTGATGGCACACTTTGATTGCTATGCTTGGATTACAGTGTCCCAGTCGTACAGGGTTGAGGATCTTCTGAGGACGGTAATCAAAAAGTTCTACAGTTCAAGGAAGGAGCGTTTCCCAGAGGAAATTGACACAATGGATGAGGAGTCCCTGATTAGCACATCGAGAGAGTATTTGCAGCAAAAGAGGTACATTGTTTGTGTTTGATGATGTGTGGAAAGTAGATTTTTGGGGGGCAATAGAACATGCTTTACCCGATAATGAAGGCGGACGAATAATTATCACTACACGGATTCAAGATGTTGCCAACTTTTGCAAAAGATCTTGTTTTGTTCATGTTCATCACTTGCAGCATCTGCCTCCAAACAAGGCATGGAAATTGTTTTGTAGGAAGGCATTTCAGTTTGAATTGGAGGGAAAGTGTCCTGAAGAGTTGGAAGAGTTGTCTCTTAACATCGTCAAAAGATGCGAAGGACTACCTTTGGCAATTGTTTCCGTAGGTGGTCTGCTGTCAACCAAAGCTAAAGTTGTGTCTGAATGGCAGAAGTTATACAATAGCTTAAGTTCAGAGTTAGAAAGCAATCCCCACCTTACAAGCCTCACAAGAATCCTATCCCTCAGCTATCACCATCTACCGTATTACCTCAAATCTTGTGTATTATACTTTGGCATCTTTCCTGAGGATTACTCAGTTAGTTGCATAAGATTAGTTCGGTTGTGGATCGCTGAAGGCTTTGTGAAACCGAAGATGGGCAAGACACTAGAAGAGGTTGGAGAGGAATACTTGATGGAGCTAATTCACAGAAGCCTGGTTCAAGTTTCAGAAGTTTACATTGATGGAAAAGCTCGAGGTTGTAGAGTTCATGATCTATTGCACGACGTCCTCCTTAAAAAGGGGTTGGATTCCAGCTTCTGTCATGTGTTATCAAAAGGCAAGTTGACTTTTAAACCAACAACTCGACGTCTCTCAATGGACATCAATCCCTCTGAGGCCTTGGAAAGCATTACACAATTTCATATTCGTTCTGTATTTACTTTCAACCTAGAAGAATGGCCCGAGTCTTTTCTCGATACATTGAGTGGAAACTTTAAACTTCTGAAAGTATTGGATTTCACGGCTGCTCCAATCAATCAACTTCCTAAATATGTGGGGGATTTATATCTCTTGACGTACTTAAGCCTGAGGAATACAAAGGTGAAGTTGCTTCCAGACTCCATAGGCAATCTACAAAACTTGGAAACCCTGGATCTAAAAACAGTCTCTGGTGTATGAAATACCAGCCAAGATCAACAAGCTTGTTAAGTTGCGGCATCTTTTGGCCTACCATCTTGACTACAACTACGACTTGGGTTTGTTCTTGAATATGGAAAAAGGAGTGAAGATACATGAAGGTATTGGATGCTTACAAGCTTTGCAAAAATTGTCCCATGTGGAGGTGAATCATGGAGGGATCAGGATAATCAAAGAACTGGGAAAGTTAAGACAGCTGCGGAAGTTAGGCCTAAAAAACTTGAAAAGTGAAGATGGAAGGGCTGTGTGTGCTTCTATTGAAAAGATGAACCACCTTGAATCTCTAATTTTAACTGCAATAAATGAAGATGAAGTCCTTGATCTAGAATCCATTTCAACTCCACCACAATTTATTCGTGCTCTCTTCTTGATAGGGCGTTTAGAGCAGTTGCCAGGTTGGATTTCAAATCTTCAACACCTCGTCAGGATAGGCATTTTTTGGTCAAGGTTGAGAGATTCCCTATTGAGAGAACTAAACCAGTCACAAGTTAGTTACAACAGTAAATAGTTAGTTGTGGTATTTATGTAATTAGTTGTAGAAGATAAGGTCACTTGTGTAAAGAGTCTGTGTGACTATATATATCCCTGTGTACTGACAATTAAGAGTGTAATGAAAATATCTTCTTCAACATTTTCTACATGGTTTCATCGCCATTCGCCTTCCGGCATTCGATCCTCCTTTCTTCCGCTCTACTCCTCTGATTTCTGTTCAGATTGATCAACTTTCTTCGTTGATTTGGTCTTCTGATCACTGTTCTTGATCTGTCTTGGTAGTTTTCATCAGCAATTTCTTTCAATTTGCGTCGGTGATATATTTGAGTCGGTGATTTCTCGATCGTTTTCTCTGTTTCTTGATCGATTTCTTGATCGATTTCGTGATCGATCTTGTGCTTTCTGTCTTTGATTCTTCCTCCTCTCTCGCATTTTGAGCTTGTCTATCATGGCCTCCCCATCTGGCTCTTCGTCTCCGCCGATCTCATCGTCACTACCAAACCCTAATCCCTCTGGAAATCCTCAACCTCAGAACTCGTATATGTCTCTTACGATCCAAAACATTGGTAGCATGGTGCCAATCAAACTCAAACGCACCAATTACCTTCCATGGCGCGCACTGTTTGCTCCGATTTTGCGCCGGTACAAACTTATTGGCCTCGTTGACGGCACTGAGCCATGTCCGGATCCTCTTCTCCCTGATCGCTCCTTGAATCTGGCTTTTGAGCAGTGGTTTGAAAAAGATCAAAACCTCTTGATTTGGCTCAACTCGACTCTATCTGAAGATCATCTCATTCCATTCACGGTAGGGGTGTCCACATCTCGAGAGCTTTGGCAGAAGCTTGAACAATGTTTTGGTGGAGTCTCTGAAGCTCATATTCACCAGCTTCGTTCTCGTCTTCAATCAATTCAAAAAGGCTCTCTCAATCGATCTCGGAATATCTACAGCAACTCAAGGAAATTTCAGATTCTCTCAATGCTGCTGGCGCAACTGTTTCTGATCGTGATCTCATTGCTGCAACACTTCACGGTCTTCCTGATGAATTCGAGTCATTTATTGACTCCATCATGCTGCGGTTGTCTTCAACTTCTCTTGATGAATTACATGGTCTGTTGCTGACTAAAGAGCTTTCCATGGCTCGTCGTAAGAACACTCTGTCCACTCCTACTACTGAGGCTTTTCAAGCATTTTCTGTTCAGTCTCAAGCACCTTTGTTCCCA